CCTGTAATAGACATCAAGTGATTGAATGCAGGATTCAATCAAAACAATGCAAAACTCACCACAAGTTTCCCCACAAGTGATTGTGTGTGTGTTGTGTCCGCACGTGTGTTAAGACACACCACGTGTTGAATAACAGATCACGTGTTGTGCACTAAATGTGATGTCAATTCAGATATCGATTGTTTAATCAATTCATTAATACATTAATTGTTAGACAATTTTGTTGTCATTTGTTTTGATTACAAAAAACTGTTTTGAAGTTTGTTTTCATTCACAAAAATCCCAACGGTTTGTCATGTTTGATGAGTCGTTCACTAATTACGTGCACTTATTTTATTGGCGGTAAACTCAAAACTTAAGGTGTGAACTGTCCTCCCGAAGCCATTTTAGTTACTTAAGACCAACCATTATATTGTCTAACGATATTCATAATTATTCCTCTTAAGTGACTCGTGCTTAACAAATACTTCCACAATAAACACGTTTCATTAAAATAGTTTAAATTTAATTCAATAAAAACAAATTAAAATTACATGATTAAAACTTTTAACTTAAATCTATAAGGTTTACATTATAACGTATACATTAATTATAATTACAATTAATCATAATATTTATTCGCCGAATTGGTTATCACAAATTGTTTGGTCGGATACTCGGCGGTCATGTTTTTGATCAACTGATAAGTATTGTGTTTATCCTTATAATGTCGTCTCAACATTGTTGGGCTATAGTAGGCGTACTGACAGCCGTCCAAATGGCAGCGGTAGGGCTTCAGGCCCTGGTGTTGATACACGTGAGCGTCCATCTGGTATCGGTTGGTGAACGACTGGTCACATCCGGGCCAACAGCACGAGTACTTTCTCACCGCCCGATGATTGTCCATATGTGTGTCGTACGAGCGCTTAGATCGCAGTGTTTTACCGCATTGCGGGCACCGGTGGTCATCGATCGCGGTGTGTGTCTTGCGGTGTTGTGCGACTTCATTAGTGGACATAAATTGTCGCTCACAGCCCGGCCACTCGCATATTAAGGGCCAATCGGTGCCGTGAGTGAGCGCGTGGGCGCGCAGACACTTCCAGTCGGCGAACCGTCGGTCACAGTCGGGCACTAGACACTCCCTGTCTGTCGGGTGACACTTCCGCCGGTGATGGTCCAGATCGGGACGACCGCCAAACCGTTTCGCGCACTGATCGCACGGGTAGAGCAAGTGATCCATGTTTTCTCGGTAGTGCTCTTTGCGGTCAGTGGTCGAGTCAAACGAGTGGCCACACGCCTCGCACGCGTACGCCTGGCTGTGAATACGCGTCACGTGTTTGTTTAAGTCATATTTCATCGCAAACCGCCGGTCGCACTGTTCGCACGCGTACGGCGTCTCCTTAGTGTGCACTTTGCGCGTGTGTGCGACCAGTCTGTGGCGATCATCAAACACCCCATCGCAGCCCTCGTAAGCGCACCGGTAGTCTATCTTGGGATGAGTGCCCCAATGGTAGACACTCTTGTGTCGCAGTAATGCGTGTCGTTTCGGGAAATGTTTGTCGCATTTGTGACATTTGAACGGCTTTTTGCAGTTATGGTCAGTCCGGTAGTGGCCTTGGAGTTCGCCTATACGTCTGAACCGCCGCTATTGTGTCGCAGTAATGCGTGTCGTTTCGGGAAATGTTTGTCGCATTTGTGACATTTGAACGGCTTTTTGCAGTTATGGTCAGTCCGGTAGTGGCCTTGGAGTTCGCCTATACGTCTGAACCGCCGCTCACAGTCCGTCCACTCGCAGCCATACTGATAGTGAACGATGGCCTGAGGTTTAAGTAGTGGGAGTGATGGGCAGTGGGAGTCGTTGATGTGGTTCTTTAGCTGTGACTGTGTGTCGCACTCGTGGCCGCAGTCCGGGTATTGGCAGCAAAACACGAGTTCACCGGCCGTTCGCCGTTTCTGAGCGGCTGAAGGCGAGTCGTGGTCGTCATCCGTGTCCTCCACTACGACTTTGCGTTTCCTGTTCTTCAGTCGCAACTCAACGCATCTCTTTTGGTGTGCTTTGAGATTAAGATCCGTCGGGAAAGTGGCCCCGCATTGGCGACACACGTGAGACGTGGTATTTATATGGTCTCTGTTTCGGTGTATTTCCAGAGCGCGGTATTGCCTAAACGCGAGGCCACACTCCGGCCAATCGCACGCAAATGACTTATTGTTCGCTATAATAGATAAGAGATTAGTTTCGTTAGTGATAATGATTAAGACAATTGCCATTCAATATGTACTCGAATTGTATTTGTGGTCTTCGATCGTATGTCTGACCAGCGATGGCTTATCGGCAAACACTCGCTGGCAATCAAATATATAACACTCGTGGCTGTGATCGGCTGTATCGTAGGCCAGTCGGCGGTCGGCATCCCCTCTATCGGAGGATTTAGTGCAAAAATTTGAATGTTGTTTCAAATCTTTGCGAAACGCCACTGCCTTCGGACAGTGCGGACATTTGTATGGCCTTATGGTTGTGTGTTTGCGTCGGTAGTGTTGCCACATTTGGAAGGGCTTCGGGAAAGTCATGTCGCAGTCACGCCATTGGCATCGTATCCGACCGTCGACTCGCCTGTAGTCAATCAACTCAACACTCGGATTGGATTGATTGTCGCCGTCGAGAGTGGTCTCCTGTTTGACGGCATGAATGGCCAGATGTTCCCGAAAATACTGTCGATCGGTATATATTCGGTCACATACTTGACATTTAAACCGCTCTTCGTTTGTATGCTCTCGAGAGACCGACTTCTTCTTGATGTCGGGCTCAAAGTCATGATAAGAATCATCGCTGGGATTGTCATTATCACCGAAATCCCCGCCAACCGAAGACCGGTCGTCATCGGTGGCCACTATTTGACTGTTCGCCAAATTGACGCTCCGATTAAATGTGTTGTTGAATGCAATCAATCCTTTGTTTTGCTTGCGTTTAGCCACTGATTCCTCTTCACTATCCCTATAGTCGTCGATACTTTGAGTTCGCATTCTTTGTATTTGTGTCTTAATGTCTTCATAACTGGTCTCCAATCGCTGGACAATCGGCTTATGATCGATGGTTTGAACGCAAACACACTTTCGCTTATAAACTAAAACACATTTTCTATAGTTTTGCATAAATTCAATGTATTTTTGAGCGAATTTTAATTCGTCTAAAAGTCTTTTATTCTCATCACTCAACTCATCCAAGAGGTCGTGAATATCAAGTGATTTGAAAATCCGTGGCCTGTATTGTTCAACTGGAGGGCCTTCGCCACGATTAACACACTCTTCACTAGTGATCAGCCGCTTAGCTATTAGTAAGCATTTTGAGGTATGTTTCCGACATTTGGTCGCATTCTTAATCTGTCTGTTCCCGCAGTGCAGACACTCGACCACTGACTGCACTCCTGACGACACCACATCTTTCCAAAGGAGCCAATTGTTATCCGGCAGCGAATCCGACGGTTTATTGGCGTTCACGCCGTCGGCATCGCAGCCGTCTTCTACCGCTTGTTTTACTTCTTGGAATCCCTCTAAGCATTTGGCGATATGTTGTTGACATTTAGTGGCGTTCTTAACCATTCTGTTCCCGCACTGCAGACACTCAACCATTGATCGCACAACAGATCCCGACACGTGTTTCCAATGGCGCCAAATGTAGACCATTCCGTCGGTCAACACAGGCGGCGGATCCAATGGTTGATTGGTGGCCACGAGCTCTCCATCACTACTTTTTATTACTTTATTCCTCTCTTGCGCTCTCTTCAAGCATTTGGTGATATGTTGTCGACATTTAGTAATGTTCTTAAGCTGTCTGTTCCCGCACTGCAGACACTGGACCACAGATCGTACACCAGATCCCGACACGTGTTTCCAGTTGAGCCAAATGTTTTGCAGCGACGGATCCGATGGTTTATTGGCGTCTTTTACCTCGTGTTTCACTTCTTGGGATCTCTTTAAGCATTTGGTGATGTGTTCCCGACATTTAGTCGCGTTCTTAAGCTGTTTGTTCCCGCAGTGCAGACACTCGACCATCAATTTGTCACCACTCGCGGTCGGGAATTGCTTCCAGTGGTGCCACTCTGTGTCCTGATTGCGACCCATCGGTGGGATTGGAGTTGAATATAACGGGTGGACACAACTGGACAGTGCTTTGAGTGATGACCTGTAATAGACATCAAGTGATTGAATGCAGAATTCAATCAAAACAACGCAAAACTCACCACAAGTTTCCCCACAACTGATTGTGTGTGTGTTGTGTCCGCACGTGTGTTAAGACACACCACGTGTTGAATAACAGATCACGTGTTGTGAACTAAATGTGGTGTCAATTCAGATATCAATTGTTTAATCAATTCATTAATACATTAATTGTTAAACAATTTTGTCATTTATTTTGATTACAAAAAACTGTTTTGAAGTTTGTTTTCATTTATCGCAAAAAACCCATCGGTTTGTCATGTCTTGAGTCGTTCACTAATTACGTTCGCCCGGAATGTGAATTGTCTGTCAATTTATTACCGATTCATGTCTTGAGACCAGATGGCCGAGCATTACCATCATTGCCATCCATTGTCACCTTCATGTGCAACACATCCTACAGTCAATCATACGAGTGATCGTCAAATTTGGGTCAAATAATGTTTACTTAAAAAAATTAATAAAAATTCAACTTTTTTTTACAAATAATTTTATTTTACAATCACTACTAATAACTAATTAATACGAAAATTACTATAATTTAAATGAAAATGAATGAGAAATAAATCTAAACAAAACTTAATTAAACATTTGATACAATTATTGAAAAAAAATAAAACAAATTACAGGAAAATTACGTGAAAAACAAATAACTGAATTGAATTGTTTGAAACACTTGTGGAAAACAATGAATCAGTTTTGGCGAAAATTTGTGCCGAACTCGTGGTTCCACTTCTCAAACATCACTAAATCTTCTTTCCTGACCGTCGGCTTCACATAAGACAAGTTCTTCACAAAGTCTTCGTACGTAATGTCGCGGATCTCTTGAGCGGTGATATCATCGATATTATCCATAATCATTGAGTCGCGCATCGGTTCCAGTGCCGACTCGCGGCACAAGTCTTTCATGTCAGCGCACGAGTAGCCATCGGTCTGATCCGCCAACGACTGGATCTGCGAATCAGTCAACGAGTGATTCACACCATTCAAGCACTTCTCTATTATCTGTTTGCGAGCACTCGCTTCGGGCAGTCCTATGTAGAGTCGGGCCGATAGCCGACGTCGGGCCGCGTCGTCCAACTCTTGCGGTCGATTAGTGGCGCCGATTATCAACAACTTCTCATCCGATTGAGTGCCGATGCCTTCGAATTGGGCTAAGAATTCAGTTTTCATTCTTCGGGAGGACTCGTGTTCGCTGTCCGACCGGTTCTTCAGCAGCGAATCGATTTCGTCAATGAATATCACTGACGGCTGTCGGGCGCGCGCGACGGCAAACATGGCCCGAATGGTCTTCTCTCCCTCTCCTATCCATTTGCTGTTCAGCGCCGACACTGTTATCGAGAAGAACGTGGATTTGGTCTGCGATGCGATACAACGGCCCAGAAATGTCTTCCCAGTGCCCGGCGGTCCGAATAGCAAAATACCTGTCAATACACGTGTCATTCAAATGTGTACTAAATTTGTGGCCAAACAATACACTAACCTTTGGGCGGCTTTCGAATGCCGCGGAACAGATCCGGTCGAAGGAGTGGCAAAACTGCGATCTCTTTGATCTTATTCTTCGCGAACTCGAGGCCCGCGACGTCCGACCAGTCCATGGGCTCTAATTCGGTGATGATTTCGTTCTCAATCACTTCGATTAGCGACGGATCGATGTTCCGAAGATTGGGATCCATTTCCTTCTCATTGTCGTCACTTTCGGAGCTCTTCATTGGATTCTTATACGTATTCTTCTGTTGTCTTAACGCGTTTCGAGCGTTCGACACATCCATAGATCCCTTCCGCACGGCTTCGACCACTTTCTTCTCGAATCCACTCATAAATAGCGGTCGTTTGGCCGGCGCTTCAGTCACTTCAGTCACCGCCGAACTGCTCGATGAATGGGCGCCCGATTTGTGGCTATTCTTCGGTGAATTCTTCCGAAATATACCCGAAACTCGTGGCGGAGATCCCATTAGAAGACGCGGATTCGCTGTGACGTGCGATCCAATGGTGGCCACAGAGCCCGACGAATGGGTGGCCTTTTGTCCAACAGTAGTGTCTAAGAAAATACAATTCATTAAAGCACTCAATTTGGGATCAAATGAAGTGATAATTACCGAAACCGTTGGCAAACGATCCTAAAGTGCCAAAGACTTTAGCATTTGGTACGCTTTGACTCCTATTAAAGGGAACGTATGGCTGCGGATCAGTCTTCGAGTGAGTCTTCGGGGCGATGGCCGCCGCGCTATTGTCACGGCGTTTGCCGCCAGCGCTCGTATCGGCACAGCTGTCATCCGGTGGCGGCTTTTTGAACACCACTTCAACCACTCCGTCATCAGTGGTGTCACCGCTTGGATTCGGTCGTAGTTTGTGGCGAAACCTGTGGCGCAACTCCTGAGCGGACAGCCTATAGAGACGGGACTCGTATGCGGCGATCGCCGGCCGACCGGAGCGTTGACTCGAGTGATTGAAAAGCATCGCTTGACTGATGTATGTATTCTTGCCGTCCGGCCGATCCATCTCTGCGTTCAACTCATTCATCAGCCGAAGACGTGTCTCATTGTATTCCTCTGGAGTGCGCGCCCATCGGCCGCGAGTGGCCGTCAGTTGAATCAATTGCGACCGCAAAGCGTCCGTTCGGGAGATGACCGTTGCGTTGATCTCGCAGTCCATCGCGTACTCCAAGTCCGGGTCAATCATCGGTGTATCGGATCCGCTGCCCATCGCCGCAGATGTGCCGCCCGTTGTCCTCGTGTTTGCCATCCGATTGTCTGATCCAACGATCGCTCAAAAGTGTTGATCACTTGAATTGAAATTGAGTTGAAATAAGACTTCAATCAAAACAAGTCTTTGAATTGCGCTTCAATTGTATGGCCTCTGCTTTGCCTCTGCTTTGGCTCTATTTGTTGTACGCATTCAACGCTAACTCAACACTACTTTACACTCAAATAAAGGTTCAAATCGTCGGTATATTTGTGTCCAATAAATGACGTCTTTTAATACATTAGGAGTTTGTATGAAATGAATACCTTTTTGTATGTATAGACACTTCGCCACTATTTAAACGCTATATTTTCTACAATAATTTCTGCGCAATTGTACTCTCAATGCGATTAAAGTTTAAACTTTTGGCACAAAATCATTGAAAAACCAAAATAAAAGTTGTTTTCATTATTAGTGTTGTTATTGACAGACATTGAGAGACAATCGACCATAAGTTGTGTCAATACTGACAGACCATTGTATCCCACCATTACGTGATCACCACTTCTGCCACACAATCGCCATCACATCCACACCACAACACACGTCAAGTCCGGACACAACAAACCAAAGAGGTATTTGATTGGGAAGTGATTTGCCGTTTGTTTACACCATTTGTATTGTTTTCAGTTTGGGATCAAATCTACAACTTCTGGCCACCAATCGAGCCGTGAAATGCCGGGCATTGAGTGCTCGCGGTTCGTGTCGTTGACCGAC